ATGCCTCGGCTGCATCCGATGCCAGGATCCGTGACTCCATCTCGCCCGATCCCTAAACTACCTCGGCTGCGCCCGACGCCAGGATCCACGACTCTGTCTCGCCCAATCCCTAAAACTGCCTCGGCTGCTCCCGACGCCAGGATCCGCGACTCTGTCTCGCCCGATCTCTAAACTGCCTCGGTTGCGCCCGATGCCATGATCAGCGACTCCATCTCGCACATTCCCTAAACAACGCCCACTGACAAAACCCCCTAGGTGATTCTGCCCAAATCACCTGGGGGCTACACCCGTGGGTGCGCTCGCGCGCACCCGCTGACAAAACAAAACTTCCCCCACAAGCAACACAAAAAAGCCCTAGACGATTCTACCCGAATCATCATCCGGGCTCGAAATCTACACCGCGGTCGTCCGACGCTCGTCCGTCAAGACAAAAATCCCCGAGATGATTCTACCCGAATCGCCCGGGGGCTCGGGGGCTCCTGTCGGATTCATAAACCCGGGGTCCCTCATGGACTAGCTTCCCAGCAAAGGCTCGGCCCAGCAGACGATGTTGCGAATGACGCGCAACTCCTGGGCTAGCATAAATACCTAAACGACAGGCCAGAAGGGCAATCCAATCTCCGACCGGAAGGCCTGGCCAAGGAGGAACGGCGCCCACTTCCGACTTCGCCCGCCTCTCCGACCGGAAGGCCTTGCTAAAGAGGAACAACGCTCGCTTCCGACTTGGGCCCGCCTCTCCGACCGGAAGGCCTGGCCAAACACCACTTTTGACTCTAACCCGCGTCTCCGACCGGGGATACACCGAACCTCTGCTTACAGCTCTTCTCCGACTGGCATAGTCGGAGCCTATTGAGACCAACCGACACGGGACGCCCGCTCGGTGAGGACTAGGAAACAAACGGAGAAAGTAAGGCAGGGCACTCAAGTCAACCGCAATACCGAGGATCGTACCCTGTACACCTACAGAACAAGTACCAACAGGGCATGTCAGAAGGGTACCCTGCAACCTTCCTAGCGTGTCAGAACCAAAGCAGTGTTGTGGGCACCGACATTTGCCCTATAGTGTTGTGGGCGCCATCAGCTCCCACACCAGACAAACACGATAAGGCTTCTCCCCACATGCCTCTAGGCATCAACAGTGTTGTGGGCGCCGGCATTTACCATACCAGGCGAATATGGTAAAACCCCCTACATGCCTCTGGGTATCAACAGTATGGCAGGCATCGACGTCTGCCATACTAGAAGAAGACGACGCAACCTCCCACATGCATCTGACATTAACAGTGTTATGGGCGCCTACAATCATCTTGTACCCGATGGCGTGGGCAACAAGACTTAGCATATGTACACTCTCCCTCTCTCACTTGTAAGGCCATCCCCTTCATCTATAAAAGGGGATGCGCTCACTCCCAACAAAAGGAGGCTCAGTTCACTTAGATCGATTCAACACACAACAACAGAACCACCAGGTTCAATCCTCGAGCACACACTCAAATATTCAACACACTCAGGAGCTCTCGTCACTCTCGGCCCTTCAGACCGGAGTCCGACCAGGCCTTTTGCACCCCCCATCTTACTCCCTTCCGTTTGTAACCCCACAGCAAACTTCGAGCACCTAGGCTCAGAAATAAAGTCACCGACTGACTCAAACTGGATGTAGGGCACGTTGCCTAAACTAGTATAAACCCTATGTCATTGAGTGCTAGGCCATATCCGATCACAACGTACGGCAAAACTATAAATATTTACGTGTTGGTCACTTTCTACACCGATAAGAGGACTCACCGATGATGAGGAAGTTGAAAGCCCTAGTTTGATTTTGGATAATTGATGAAACCTAGCACTAACCTTTGTCAGGAGTGGTGATATGAGCTAGGTTGGTACAATCCAAGTGATTGAGCAAGATGAGGTCCATGGAGATGGAGATGGACATATGTTGATGAAGATCAAGCTCAACTTGGAAAAGAAGAAAGAGAAAAACAAAAACTGAGATGATCAAGACAAAGGTATATTGATAGGTTTTTGTTTTGCACTCAAGACACCATAGAGGGTGTGAGTGACTTAGGATCGATAGCCATACTATAAAGAGGAGAAATCTTTGGCTAAACGGTTTATCGAGTGCCACTTGGTGACATGACTTTTGCATATGCATTTAGAAACCTAGTATGCTAACTTTGACCCTTGTAAAATGCTTTGAAAAGTACTAACACACGTGCACACAAGTTCTACACTTTGTGGTTAGCAAGTTGGAAGCAAGGGTGAAGTCGTTTCGGACTTAGAAAAAGAAAAGGAGGAGCTGCACGTCGACCGGATGCTGGCCATGTCCTAATCGGACGCTAGCCAAGCGAGTCCGGTTATTTTTAAACCGTGGCACGAAGTCTGGCCGAGAGCGTGGGGGACGCGACCGGACGCTGGACCAGATGCGGGGTCGCATCCGATCATGCACAGCAGTGGAGGAGCAGCGCTGGCACGTGATCGGACGCTGAGTCATTCTTGCGATCGGACGCATCGAAGAAAAGCAAACCCTACTGACGTACACTGACGTCGCACACGTAGAGAGTCGACCAGTGAGGACAGAACACTCGGGCGTGTTAGGTCACCTCTGACCTGACGCGTCCAGTCAAGAAAATCACGCTTTGGACCCTTACAGGACTCGATTGGACACCATGTGTTGGTGAGTCCGGTCACTTTGAGCGTTGAATCCGGTCACGACTTGACTGATCAGGCGAACTAAGAGATAGCCATTGAGATCTAACGCGCAGAATTCAAACGGGAACACGTGGACGGCCTGGAGCGACCGAACGCTGGCCGACCGGACGCTGGGGTGCGTCCGGTCAGTGAGTTCGGTCACCCCGAGAGTCCCCAACAGCTCTCTGCTTCTTGGGGCTCTATATATAGAAAGGTACCGGCTTGGGGCTCACTGTCTTGGCATTTTGACATACTTGACATCCTTGTGAGCCTAAGCAAACACCTCCCACTCATCTCCATCATTGATTCATCATCATAGTGAGATTGAGAGTGATTTCAAGTGCATTTGCTTGAATGATTGCATCTAGTGGCACTTGGGGATCATTGTGGCTCGGAGTTTTTGTTACTCTTGGTGGTTGTCGCCACCTAGATGGCTTGGAGCAGCGGAGGAGCATCGGCACGTGTTGGTGATTGTTCGTGGCTGGCTTCGGTGATTGTGAGGGGTCTTGCACCTTCCCCGACGAAGCGCCGCAAGGTAGCTCTAGTAAATTGCTCGTGTCATTTAGTTACCTCACTTGTGGGTAGGTTCTTGCGGTGTCCAATTGTGTGGACGAGGTTTGTGCAACACGTCTTAGCCGCCGAACCACCAAGTGTTGGTCGACACAACGGGGACTAGCGTGCCAGCAAGCACGTGAACCTCGGGAGAAAAATCGATTGTCTCTTGCCCTCTGGTATTCTCCTGATGAATGATTTGGTGTTCATCTTGTGATTGGTTCACTCATCTACGCGGCGGTATAATCACCCTACTCACTCATTTATATTCCCATAAACTAGTTGTCAAGCTCTTTAGTGTAGTTAGTCTTTGAGAGCTTGTTAGTTTGGTTAGTGTGGCTTTTTAGTTAGTCTTTGAGAGCACACTAGCTTAGTGAGTAGTGACCTAGCTTGTTGTGTGTGATAGTGATCATAGCTACTAGAATTGTTGGAATAGGTGGCTTGCAACCCTTGTAGAGCTAGAGCAAAATTGTATTACGCCGTTTGTTATACTAATCGATTGCTCTAGTGCTTTGTAGAGACTTTAAATAGGCTATTCATCCTCTCTCTAGCCATATTAGGACCTTTCAGAAGTGTGTGGTGGTTGTTAGCAAAAATGCTTGCAAATAAAGGCACAAGGAAGGCCACACAGGCGAGTAGATAGGAAGCACTCGAGTCTTGGAGCGATGGCAGTGGCAACATGACAATGCTCCATAATGAGGGGATTGTGTGTGGATGGACCCATATCCAGGCCAATTACATGTCAGTATGCCACCACATAAGGTTGATAAACCAAACATTGATACAGTAGTGGTCACTTTTGGACTAAGATATTATTAATTATACTTTGATGAACCATACATCATCTTAGTTTTTATTAGGACAATCAATTCCATGCACTTTAGCCTATTTGGCATGGCTCCGGCTCTGGTTCCGATAGCAGCTTCGGCACAGGAGCCAGACCAAACACCTCAAGAGGAGCTGTTTTTGGCATGTAAGAGGAGCCAGAGCCGATTTTTGTGTCGAAGTCAAAGCTGCAATTTGATCCTCCCTCCGGCTCTAGCTCCTCCAGAGGAGCACCTAGGGGAGGAGCTAATGCAAACAGGCACTTAGGGTCTGTTTAGTTCGTAACCACAACTTATCATTATAGTCTGTCGATTGACCTCTACCGAGTCAATTCTGACAGCGAGTTTAGATCTGACGGTGATCTTCTGGAGTAGTGTTGATTCTTTGAACCAATGACTTGCGTATTTGTGAAGTGATTAATTTTTTAAAGCATAGTTTACTTCCATTTGTGATGTACTCATTGATTAGTATATGTGGACACTCAAACTTGAGACCAAACCAAGCAACTTGTATATACCAGAGAACTGCTGAAACAATGCATGCATGCATGCCAAAACATCGTGTCCACTACATATAGGCAAGTGCTAAGCGCTTGTACAAGGCAGATTCAAACTACATGACACACCATATGGGTAGACCGTATAGAGACCACTAACCACACGGGAAACAAAAGGAGAGATCCCAAAGTACAAACACCCCTATATATGTTTGGATCAGGGACCTAAATATATACTTTGGTCACAAGAGTATACAGTATACTACACTAACAAAGAGGTGCCCTACAATGACCTCAAGTATGTGTATAAGACTGCTTCATCACCTAGATATATATGCTATATTTTCTACTTATTTCCTGTATATGTTTGCCTGCAAGCAACCACACATTGACCTGACAGAGAACACACTGTATTCAGGAATCAGGACACAAGAAGGTGTCAGTTCTTAGGTAAGAGCTGAACATGAAAGCCATCGGGGAAGCTGAGCCCGGGGGTACGGACTATGTTCCCTCCTTTGATTGTCCTCCAACTGCAATTCGCCAAATTTATCTTAGAATATAGATTTAAAATTTTCAGAAGAATTTAAATATTTGTGCCTGCATCTGCAAGTAAGAACTGGTACCTGTACTTTGTAACCAGGCAGTGGATGAAGGTTGCCATCAAGAGCTTGCTGAGATCTGTGCCGACACAGAACCGGAGCCCCCCACCGAAGGCCATGAAATGCTTCGTCCCACCGGTGATTTCCACCTTGTCCTGCTCAAGTGACACCCACAAGAGAATTGTTTAGAGTTTAGAGAATTTTCGTCAGTCAAGAACTGAAAATATGCAATCTATCGTCTACCGTTTTTCATGTCCATGCTTTTATCTTCCGAGTTATGCATGGAGGCTTCTAGCTATGGGCATATCTTATTACAAGTTGCTGCATCTTTTTTGCTTATGCGAAAGATATAATATCTCAACTGTTATGGCTTTAAGATTGCTTAATTCATTTCTTTACACTTAGCTGTCTCTTTTCAGTGGAACAGCGCATATTAAGTAACTTTTATTTGACTATATGCTGTTCCATAAGCTGACTTCTTGACCATTCCCATGTAGACATATCACGTGGCAATAATCTACAAACAAAGAACTGAGCTTACTGCTGCAAATCCAGGTTCATCACCTTGCTACACAGAGCCTGTTCGGCAGGCCGTAAACGATCGTTGATTATTTACTACTGGCTGGTTTGGTATGAGAAAAAATATTGTTCCAGCTTATAATCCACGATGGTATACGAGCAAACGAACAGGCTGATTATTTACTCCTGTGTAATGTCCCCTTGACATATTTGTTTTTCTACTTTTCACTGGTTCTAGCACATGGTTCACCTGCCCCATTGAGAAAATGTCAGGCTAGAACCCTAAACCGGAGACAGCTAGGGCAAGTGGTCAGAATCCCATGCAATTTGTTGCAAAATATGCTAATATTAGTACTCTTCCAAGGCGATTGGTGCAGTTGTTTGCCAATATATGTGCACGCTCGTCTGTTTAGGACTTGGTACACCATGCATGTGTGTATATACGTATATATTCTTTTTTCTGGGTCCTTCTTATTATATATCCTTCCAGGTTCCAAGTGAAGTTACGATGTACTCCTTCATTTGCAAAATAAGTCTCCATCTCGCATTTTGATGAGTTAAACAAATTTAACTTTGACAAATATATAGTATAAAAATACTAATATGTGTGATATTAAATAAGCATAATTAGATTAATCATACGTTATATATTTTCATACTAAACCTATTTGAAGACACGGATGTTGATACTATTTTTTATATATAAAATCTAATCAAAGTTGAGATTGGTTGACTCCTCATATTCACTACCGGAGACCGGCTCTTTGTCGAGTGTCAAGTGGTTTGCCGAGTGTTGTTTTTCGGGCACTCGGTAAAGACGTCTTTGCCGAGTGTTTTTTTTTATACTCGGCAAACAAGCTCTTTGCAGTGTGTTTTTTACACTCGGCAAAGAAAATTTCAAAGCACATTTTGAAGCAGTAAATTAATTCAAATGAAAAAGTTTTCAACTACAAAATTGTATAACTCGTCAAGATGTACAATGTTTGTTTTGGTCTTTTCTTCATATGAAAAAGTGAAAGTAAATTTGTTCACAAATCTAACATATCTCTCTGGTAGTTTATGAAACTACAAGAGAGATATATAAGATTTATGAACAATGTTAGAACGACCATGTCGGATGAATAGATGACCAAACAACCAAAATAAACTTTGTAGATCTCGAAAAGTTATAAAACTTTGTAATTGGCAACTTTTTTATTTGAAATCATCTTGTCATGCAAAACTGTGTTTAAATTTCAAAATTTCAAAATTCGAACTTTTCAAACGACCTCGGATGGAAAAACAACCAAAATAAACTTTGTAGATCTCGAAAAGTTATGAAACATTGTAGTTGGCAACTTTTTGATTTGAAATCATCTTGTCATGCAAAACTGTGTTTGAATTTCAAAATTTTAAAATTCAAACTTTTCAAACGACCTCGGATGGAAAAACAACCAAAATAAACTTTGTAGATCTCGAAAAGTTATGAAACATTGTAGTTGGTAACTTTTTGATTTGAAATCATCTTGTCATGCAAAACTGCATTTGAATTTTAAAATTTTAAAATTCAAATTTTGTAAACGACCTCGGATGGAAAAACTTCCTAAACTAAAAGTGTATCTCAAAAAGTTATGAAACTTTGTAGTTTACAACTTTTTTATTTGAATTCATTTAGGGCCTCAAACAAGTAATTTACATTCGATTTAGTATAATATATTAGGAACTAAAACGAAATCCAAACATAAATGAAAGCGTGGTATAGTGGTAGAGGATGTTTGCCGGCAGGGGGAGGTCGTGAGTTCGATTCCCTTCGGCCGCGTTGCCGTGATTTGACGCGAAAAATTGTGGAGATGGGCGCGGGCGCTGGCCAGTGGGGGCCTCCTCCAATAAAAAAAAAATCTATTTTTTTTTTAAAAATTCATATTTTTTCGGGTTTTTATCGGTTCCAACTTTGCCGAGTGTCCGGCACTCGGCAAAGGCTTTGCCGAGTGCCCGATAAAAAACACTCGGCAAAGTTGGCTTTGCCGTCACTTTTTTTTGCGAGTGCTGTTCGCCGAGTGTTACACTCGGCGAACCATTTGCCGAGTGTTTTATGTCTTTTGCCGAGTGTTTTGGGCACTCGGCAAACTCAGGGAGTCCGGTAGTGATTGTAAGATGGAGACTTATTTTGGAATGGAGGGAGTACTCGAAACTCCAGAACTCAGGCGTATATCTGATTGCAATTTCCATCGTTTCGTTTAATTTACTACTCCTTAACTACTCTCCACTTATATTAGTATCTGGTTAGTTTTTATATAAAATGATGATACACCTTAAATAAGATGTGGACCGCTTTCTAACTTCAGGTAGAAATTGTGCACGGTTCGATGGACATGGGTGGTACCGTCAAACAAAATCCTGAAAGACTGAAACTAAAAGTGTTACTACAGGGTCCTTTTGATTCAATTTTCTACTCTCCCAGAACCCTAAGAATAACTTTCGGTTTTGCACAAATAGATCGAGAAGGGCACAAACCTGCCATCTCCACGGATTAAACGCTAATGGATCTTCATAGATTTCGGGGTTTAAGTGCACTGCTGGAGGACACACCATCACTCCCCAACCTGCCGGAATGGTGTAGCCTGCAGCATCCAGAGGTCCGGACACATACGAAAACCTAATAAGTATATATTTTTTTAATAATCTTACCCAAAATAGGATCAGAAGTATATATTCCCTGCAGGTATGTATTATTGTACCTTTGAACTCAATGTCTTGCAAGGCCTTCCGAAAAATACCCGGCACGATGTTTGCCAGTCGTACAATCTCGAGTGTAACCTGCTTCATCAACACCAAAAGAACACCGTCATTTACAAAAATTGCATTTCTGTTTCTCTCAAATCCGTTTTGCCTTGTATTTGTTCTTTCTAGTGATCCACGCATGCATGTTTGTCCCAGATTAATTTAGTTACATGTTAAGCTAAGTACAATATCTTCTTCCTCGTAGACCGTGCTTTCGGTTTCACATGCACGAAACACTGACCATGCACTTGCACAATCGTCATTTTTCTGTCAAAGTTGTCATATATATAACACCATTTGTGTTACTGTGACTGTAAGATAATAAGTCTATACGACGAGCTAGCCTTCTTTAACGGTGCAAGTTGCAGTCAGCAATCCGTGGCGTATCTAGGTATAGCTAGACCCGGTTAGGCTCACCTGAGATGTGAAGGTCATGGACTTGTACTCGGCCCACGTGAGCCCGGCATCCCTGTCCTTCCTGTTGCTGACAATCGCCTCATGCTCCTCCTGGCCACACACAACACACACACGCAGCAGCATCTCAGCTGGTCAATTGTTTCCGGCACAAGCCACAGGCCTTGTTGCCTGCCTGCGCGTACGTCGATGGAAGTAAACAATCGCGTTCAATTCGCAGCTAGCTAGTCTCCTGCTGCTGCGGCAGCACGCACGCACTGCACTAACCGTTAGCGCCCGGAGCACCCTGGGGTTCTCGGCCAGGAGCTTGACGCCCAGCGTGAGCGCCAGCGCCGTCGTCTCGAAGCTGGCGAAGAGGAGCACGAACATGAGGTCCAGCGCGATGGCCTCCGTCATGACGGGCTTCTCCCTCCTCAGCTCCTCGATCAGCACGTCGAAGAAGTCCTCGCTCTGCCTCCCCGGATCCGCCATCCGCTCACGCATCATCTTCCTGAGCACCTTCATCGCCTTCTTCCTCCCCTGCCGGCCCATACATGTACAAGCGGATTTACTAGTAAGAAGAAGCTAGAAGCCTTAGCGGAAGGGATTCGTCTAGAACCATTGACCGTGAGCTAGGTAGCTTTGCATGCATGTGATGTGAGTGAATGGTCGTATGTTTGACTGGATGCATGTGCTGTCTTGCTCACTACGTTGCATCGCGTTCTTCGCATAATCGCATGCATGTGCGGTTGTGCAGCTAGCTAGCATATTAGCAGTTACCTGCATGCAGCGACGAAGCCAGCGGGGGGGCTACCCGTGCTCCAGCCCCCCCTACGGCCATGATTTACATGGAGCCCGGGCTTAGCCCGGGCTACCGCCATGAGGAGGAAGAAGAAGGCAAGGAGGGGCTGGAGGAAGTGGAGGAAGAAGAAGAGGAAGCCAGCCCTGGCTTCGTCGATTCCTGGCTTCGTCGCTGCCTGCATGCACTCATGGTAGGCTGTGCCGGGAATGTCCACCGGGAACGATATGAGGCCGCGAATGAAGGCCACGAAGTTCTTCCTCAGATCCTCCGACGACTTGGACGGCTCGTAGCTGATCAGCTTCTTCGCGGTAAGATCGAATATCATCTGCACGCACGCAGGAAATGGAATTGATTTCATTTCATCGTGCGACAGATCATCAGACATGCATGTACAGCAGGCTGCTGATAGATCTGAAGCAAGTTCTTACGGTGGAGATGGCGTCCTTGAGCTCGACGCCGCAGGGTCGGCTCGCCCATGCGCCGAGGCTCGCGCGGCAGGCGCGGTGGGTGTCGGCGAGGAGCACGGCCCTGAGGTTCTCCTGGCCGTAGAGGCGGAGCACGAGCGTCTTGAGGTACTTGTACATGAAGCCGTGGAGGGAGCCGACGTTGTCGCGGCCGAAGATCTCGGAGAAGGTGTCCGGGTACCAGCTCTCGAACAGCTTCCCTTCCTGCTGGAACACGTAGTAGTTCAGCTCTGGGTCCGCCGACACCACCACCGGCCGCCCCACGATGCTCGTCTTGAAGATGTTGCCGTACCTATATACACATCCATCCAATTTGTTCCATCACTAATCCAATGCAACCTGCTTAACAATTAATTAGCTCTGCTGCTTGGTTTGCACACTCAATAAGCTAGTACCTGTCCAGTCTCTTCTTCACGAATGGCGAGATGTCACAGGTAGGATTGGGCGCGAAGAACTGCAAGGTCTCGCCGAGGAGAGGGAAGCCGAGGGAGCCCGGAGGCAGCTGGCCGTTAGCTTTCGGGTGGCTCCACCTGTACGCCCACAGGATGGAAGCCATGGCCACGGCCAAGGTCACAGCCCACACTGCTACGCAGACCAATGATTCCATGGCCGCGCCGTCAAGGTAGCTAATTAAGCTAGGAAAGAGAAAGCTAAGGCCTGGTGTTCGAGTGGTGACTCGTGATGCCAATGGTGTTGCAGGCTGTAGATCGATAGAGCGCAGACTGCAGAGATGCAGGAGAAGCTAGTGCAAGATATGGTTGCACAACCGAGAGCCGCGTGCTTGTTATATAGAGCAGGCGAGGTTGCTTCGTTCGCTAAAGGTTTCAGGATTGCAGCATGCTTAGATAGGCAGAAACATATTTGTTTTTTAAGAAAAAAACTAATCGGAGGAGGAATTGTTGCCACAGAATCGCTGCCGGTGTTTATCTTTTTGGCGGACAGAATCCACCAAGAAGCTCGTCTTGGGTTGTTCTGTTCTGAAGAATGTGGTACATGCCACAGGAAATAGGCTGTTCTGCTGTGAGCTTTCTCGGCGTGGTTGCCTGTTTAAGGTTGGCTGGCCTGGCTCTGTATGGTTTAGCAATAGACGACATGTACAGCGATGGGCTGCCGGCTGTTCTCCAGACCAGGGATTGTTCCAGTCTCCCAGTTAGATTATGCCATTAGCAGAAACAGGGGCCACTTTTGGCTGTATGTACTAGCTAGTTTTCATATGTAAGGGCATATTCTTGTTTGGTTGCACTTGCACATATATAGGTTCAAACAATAGACCTGATCAATTAGTTTTTTTTAAAGGACGGTAAATCTGTTGCCGTTATTTTTATTAGACCATAGAAGAAAAAAAATCAAACACAAACACTGATCAATTAGTTTGACAAATGAAAAATATCGAAATTTGCAGAATGAAGTGATGGGCCTCAAAAGGAACCATTTCAAAATATTATTATTGATTATCTTCTAGCTTTGACCATGAATACTTAAACGAACACATCATAGAGTGGTAACATAAAACACATGTTGTTATTCCTATTTTAAAAATGTTGAAGGTCACATCGACATCACAGGCTTAAATAATTTGGATTGGAAGTAATAACGAATACTAGTCGCAAAAAAAAAAGTAATAATGAATACTTGATATATATAAAGAGAAGGTTTTAGGGTTTCTTTGCAATTTTGGTTTACGGGTAAAAATTGCAGTCGTTTATTTGAAGACTAGAATTCCTTTTCTTTTTATTCGTTTTTGTTAGGCTTTTGATGGATATACGGTTATCATAAGTCTGGGACACGACAGGGGAAGTTTGCAAGAAATTAAAGGAATAATTGAATATGCACCGTCACACTAGTAGAACTGTAAAGTAGCAGTAGCGCCGAGTTGAAGTATTCGGTTGTAGTTTAATTCTGGGCCGTGCTCGGCCACGTCGCTTTTGATTTGGTAGCTTTTTGATCGAGTAGGCGGACGTCACCATCGCAGGTGCGGTAGACCCCGCCCCCGGCTAGCCAGCACAGTAGCAGCAGTGCAGCAGGTTCCGAATTTTTTATTATTTAGTCCTTTTTTTAAAAAAATTTCACAAATATGCTCCTCAAGGAAAGATTTTAAAATCTAGACCCTTCACTCGGTGCCATCGTTGCTGGCATCGAGCTAACACGTATCGGCACCAGCGTTCCTAGCGTCGAGCTCTTGGACTCGATTTCAACGTGGCGGTGACATGGCAGGGAAGCTCGGCGTCGAGCTCGGCACCATAGATTTTGGCGCCGAGCTCGACGCCTTGGCGCCAGGGTAACTGGCGCCGAGCCTACCTTATGTATGGGCCCCAATCATTTCTCTCATCTCCCTCTCTCTCTTTTTTCCTTGCCCGAGAGTCGAACCGCCGCCGCCGCTGGCGCCTTCTCCCGCACCCAGCCGCCGGCACCCAAGCGCCCTCTCCCACGCCCAGCCGCCCACGCCCTGCGGCCGCGCCGGTCCCCTCGTTGTTCCCCGCAGCCGCGCCCGCGCCCGTGCCCCGCTCCCGCGCGGACGCCGCCCGCCGCAGCCGGCCTCCCTCATGCCAAGCCGGTCCCTCGTCGTTCCCCCACGCCGCGCCCGCGCCAGCCGCGCCAGCGCGCGCCGCCAGCAGCACCACCCAGCAACCTCGCCGGACCGCCGCGCCCCGTGCCCTCGCCTCGCCCGACGTGCCGCCCGTGCCTGCGGCCGCCTTGGCCGCGCCCCGTCGCGCCGGTGCCGTGACCGTGACCGTGCCGCCCCCCAAAGCCGGCCTCGGCCGCGCCCGCCGTCCCACCCACGCCCGCCGAGCCGGCCTCGCCCCGCGGAGCGCCGGGCATCCCGCACCCGCCGCGCACCACCGCCGTTGTCAGACGCGCCCCCGCCGGCCCCGACACCTGCAGCGCCCGGCCGTGCCACCGTCGGCCCGGCTCGTCGGCAGGACCCATGCCCGACGTCCGCTGTGACTCCGTTGACGTCCGCGACTCCATCGTCGGATAGGTAAAAATTGTGAATTTACAATGTGCGTACTTAGTTAGTTTTGATTGTAGTGTAGTAGTTTTGGCATTTGTTATTTACTAGTTAATGTGATGACTTAGGTAGTTGATTTAGTTAGTGATCTAGTGAGATATATATGTATATAGATAGAAACATTGATACATACGTACATAGATATAGTTAGATAGCTACTTAGATAGGTAGTTACATATTTAGTTAACTAAATAGGACCTAGCTATTTAGTTAGTACACTGTATCTATGTATGTAGTTATTATCTTATTTACTTAGTTTGTAGTTAGAAAGTACTTATTAGGTACTATCTATCGTCTAATTTGGACTAAAGCACATGTGTTTTGTTATGTGTTTAAATTAGATGGACAACCTAGTGACCATATATCATGGAGGCACCGTTGAATACGATCGCTGTGGATATGTTGAGTTTGTTGACATGCAAAGCGTGCCTGTGCTATTCAATGATAGGCCTTCATTTAGTGAGATGGTTGCAAGGGCTCGGGAGGAGCTGCATTGCCTTGGAGATGATGGCATTGCAGTTGAGGGTATACTGCACCTAGGTTCTCCCAACATCCTTAGGTGAATGATCCCAATTGGGTGTGCGGATCAGTTGGAGAACTATATGAGATCGGCTATGAAGAGCCAGCTGCAATGTTTGGACGTGGTCGTGCGTCGGGTGTTAATTGATCCCATTCCTCATGGGTTTTCCCCACCAATGGGTCAGCAGGCACACATCGACCCTCCTATCCTGGAACCTGATATGGATGTGGAGGTTGCACCTATGGTTCCTGATGCTCAATTTGCCCCCAATGCGGTAGTTGGAGATGCTTGTCAGACTCATTTTGTTGTGACAGATCCTCCTCATGAGATCCCTTTGACACAGAATCATCCAAGTAAGTGTCTTAATCGCATGGTTATTGGGAGCTTACCCTCTTCCTTACATCCATTTTTTCATTCTTTCCTCATTTCTCTACTTTTGTTGCAGGAGACATTCCTGAGAATGTGGATGTTCCCCCTGTTGCTGCGCAAGTGCACTTTGGAGATGGATTCTGTGGCTCTAATAGTGTTGAAATTATGCATGATTCGGAGCCATATGAGATGGCAAGGGCTCTTGATTCTGATGATGATCGCCCTATTGGAGAGCTAACAGAGAGTGATGTTGAGATGCCGAGGCGTATCTTTCCCGGCCACTGTGATCCAAGAGTTCACAAGTTCAGTGATCTTGCTTATTCCAATCAGGCGTGTGCAGAAGGACGTGATGATGAGCTCCTAGAAGCTCCTGAGGCCAGCCCTAACATGGTAACTGAGAATGGGAGGGTGTTCAATGACCTCCCTGCATTGAAGAGGTGGTTGCAGGCGTTTGCAGTGATACGAAAGAGACCTTACAAGGTCTTGCATTCATATGCGGAGCGCCATTACACAGTTGTGTGTGACAAGGAACGCTACCCATGGAGGGTTTGTGTAAGGAAGCAAAAGGTCACCGGAAAGTGGAAGATCACAAAAGTTGTTGGGCCACACAATTGTGCTGACCATGAGCTAACACTGAGGCATTGGCAGTTGACATCTACCCTCATTGCCAAGCGGTTGATGGGAATATTGCAGAGAGAACCCAACATGAAGGTGAGGACAATTATCAGGACCGTTGAGGCGTTGTATGGAGGTTATGTGATAACTTATGGTAAAGCTTGGAGGGCTAAGCAACGAGCGTGGAAGATGATATATGGAGACTGGGAGGATGGGTACGAGCAGTTGCTAGAACTTTTTAATGCAATCAAAGCGGTGAATCTAGGCATGCATTATGAGTACATCCCAAAACGAAATGCATGGAAGGATGGGAGACTTCCGTGCTTTCTGGTGCTTCCCTCAGTGTGTCGAGGCCTTTAGGCACTGTTGTCCTGTCTTCTCCATTGATGGTACGTTCTTGATTGGCAAATATCAGGGCACACTTCTTATAGACATATCCTGTGATGCGACCAATAAGTTGGTTCCTTTAGCATTTGCTTTGGTTGAGAAGGAGAACAATGACAGTTGAGGATGGTTCTTGAGGCTAGTCCGGATACACGTGGTTGGGCCTGGTAGGGAGGTTGGCGTCATATCTAATAGGCACCAGGGCATACTTAATGTCGTGCGAGAGCAGATAGAGGGGTATGCACCTTTGCACCATCGTTGGTGTACTTGGCACCTTGCTGAGAATCTACTCCGGAAGGATGGTGTGAAGGGTAACTTTGATCTGTTCTAGGAGGCTGCTCGACAGCTTGAGGACAAGTACTTTTAGATAAAGTTGGAGCAAGTCAGAACCGCATCAAATGCAGAAGGTAGACAATGGCTCACAGGTTTGATGAGGGATTTGGAGAAATGGACGAGAGCTCACGACGCCGGTGGATGGAGGTACGAGTTTTAGTGCAGCAACATGGCGGAGTCATTCAATAAGTTGCTATTGGGGATACGTGGTATGCCCGTGAATGCAATCATTCAATTCACCTTCTATAAGCTTGTTTCCTGGTTCAACGATAGACACGCACATGCATTGAAGTTGCGGAGTGATGGAGAGATATGGGCTCCGAAACCAAAGGCACACCTAGAGAAGGCAAATGAAAGGGCTGGCACACATGAGGTT